GGGATGGAACCAGAAACAAGTGGTTGTTCTGTGAGCTCTGTCAGCCTTCCAAGCAGGTGTGCCCCGAGGGGCCTGCTCAGGTTAATTAGTGCACCTTTATACCTATGGCCCTGCTTGACTTGCCAAGCCAGGTCCGGTCCGGTTAGTAGTTGGCTGCGTTGCACGTCTTGGCTGCACCGGCCCGGCCATGGCTCAGCAGTCTTGCAGCACGCAGGCGGTGGTCGCTACCTGGGGCGGAGGCGAACTGCATTTCTCAGGGGCTGCCATCTTCCCTGCGTAGTCAATGCAGGTGGCGCTCCGCGTCCGCACCCCCTCGCCGCAAGTCCGGGAGCACGGCGACCAGGGGCCGATCCGCCAAATGGGGCACGGGAGGTCGCCACAAGGTTTGAGGTCCTCGGGCTTCAGGGCCTTGTCACAAGTGGTGGAGGCCTGGCCCGCCACGTCCCGGCAGTCCACCGTGCGCCTCTGCCAACCAGAGCCGCACGTTTTGGAGCACTCGGACCAGTCCCCCATAACCCACTGCGAGGTCAGCATGGGCTGGATGACGTTGGCTGATTTCTTCTCCTTGACCTTCTGCTTGCTAAAGGGCACGTCCTTGGGGAGGAAGAAAGTGAACTTCACCTTGGGCGGGAAGACCTCGCTGGAGACCGTCAGCAGCTGGACAGTGAGAGATTCTGGGAGCTGCCGGAAGCTCTGGAGCCGCTCCAGAGTGGTCAGAGAGCCACTGTACTTCAGGATCATCCCCTTCACCAGGATGTCTTGCTCCATGGCTGAAATGGCAAAGTCTCCGTTCAGGAGGTACCTGCCATCCGGGGTTCTCAAAGCCAGGTAGTTTCCATCGTGCCGGACCCCTCGGTGGCTGCGCTGCTTGATGTCAATGTTGGTAGCTCCGGCAGGGATCGTGACGATGTCGTTATAGCCATACCTGCATGGAGCACGAGGAGATGGCTGTTGTCCCGAGCTTACAAGCCAACAAATTAGTACAGGGATGGGTTAACATGCTGCCGGTGACATGCCTGACGTAATCTAGAGCTCTCCAGTGCTAGGGCCAGAAATTCAGAGGCAGCTCCAGATACAAATGCAACGGGAGGGTTTTCGCTCAGTGCAATGTGAACATCAGCACTGCAATCACAATTGTTTATTTTGATATGAAATTCCTTTATTTCCACTGCCCCTAATTTTTTACATTTCAGTGGAGCGGCAGAGTTTTCTGCTGGATGCTCAGATCTGCACTGAGACCTTGCCCTGGGCACAGACACAGAGTTTTGACAGATGGGAATGAGGCAGCAGGGGCTTTTGGCACCTGGGAAGGTCTTCGTGACAGTTTGGATCTGGAGGACAAGAACCCTGGTTGGACGTTTCTGCTAAAACAATCAGCAGTTAATGATATTGATGTTTACACTGCCCTCTTTGGCTGTGTCTAGACTTGCAAGTTTTTCCGGAAAATCATCTGCTTTTCCGGAAAAACTTGCCAGCTGTCTACACTGGCCGCTTGAATTTCCGGAAAAGCACTGACGATCTCATGTAAAATCATCAGTGCTTTTCCGGAAAAACTATGCTGCTCCCATTCGGGCAAAAGTCTTTTTCCGAAAGACTTTTGCCCAAAAGGGCCAGTGTACACAGCACAGTACTGTTTTCCGCAAAAAAGCCCCGATCGCGAAAATGGCGATCGAAGCTTTTTTGCGGAAAACCGCGTCTAGATTGGCCACAGACACTTTTCTGCAAAAAGTGCTTTTGCGGAAACGCATCCTGCCAATCTAGATGCACCTTTCCGAAAATGCTTTTAATGGAAAACTTTTCTGTTAAAAGCATTTTCGGAAATTCATGTCAGTGTAGACGTAGCCTTTAGGTTTCAGAGTTAACATCACACACTTTTTGAAGCTATTTTTCCAGACTGGTTGTGGACCCCAGCATTGCTCTCTCTGCATTGGCTGCACTTGGTTGGTTTTGGAAGGTTTTTGGTGTAACCATCAGCACCAGAAATGAAATCTTAGATTCTGGAGTGCCATTTTGCCGCTGGGGTGGATTCCACAGCAAATTGTGTCACTGTAGGATTCTGGAGTAGGCCGGGCCCTATGGACTGCAATAGAGGAATGGTTCATGGCTGTGGAGCAAAAGGCCTTTAAGTCGGGGGCACTCCTTGTACCTTGTACATTGTCTATGCTGAACAAACAACAATGGCAATTTGGGAAGCAACACACTAAAATCCAGCACCTGACTCAAGCCAGCACCTGTAACTGATAGGAATATTTACACAGAAGCATTTCAAAGGCTTGTGCTGTGGCTGGCGATTAGGCACAGAGTATTTTGGAACAAAGCCTGAGGGTCAAATTCTGCTCTCAGACTGAAGTCACGCTGGCATTCTTAACCCTGATCTTAATCGGATCTCTTGTAGATTAAATCCATATTCATCTCTCTTTAGTCAACCACAAACAATTCATTGGCCAATGGAAGTTCCATTCATTGTGTTCCCTGGAAGGAAACCACTTAGGAAATCTAATTTGACCCCGGGAGTAATCTCATCACGTGGAATTCGATATCTCAGCCCTTTGTTACTCTCTTTCCAAGAAAGCTTTTAATATTGGCCTCCCACTGCTAGCGTTGCTTTGCTCAGAAGATTAACCCTTCAGCCGAAAAGGCAGCTCTTCAGCTGCCGTCAATTGCCACAGCTCTATTGATGTCAGTGGCACTACGCTGATTTATACCATCTGTAGGCTCAGGCCCGGACAATAAATCGCACCCATGTGTCGGGCCAGCACAGGGCCTCTGAGCAATTTCTGTTGCACTTATATGCCAATAAGCTCTTCCTAGGTCTTCTGCTGGCTCCCTGCGTATGCGGGAAATTCAGCCCTGGGGCTTAGACTGTAAACCCCTCAGGGCAGGGACTGAATTTTTTAATTTGCGCCTGTCAGAGCACCAAGCACATGACAGCGGCAGGTAACACTGAAAGCAACAGGCATTATGTGTATTACATAATGCAGCACAGGAGCAAACTTTGTGGAACTTTCAAGGAGTTTGGGGCAAAGATAAACATTACGTGGGCCCTAGGCTGGATTCTGGGCTCATTTGCAGTCGTATAAATCCTGCTTAACACGGTGGAAACCAGCGGCGTTATGCCGCGTTTATACCGGCACAGATCAGATCAGAATCTGCCCGGCAGGTTCCAAACTTCCCTGTGTGTTTGCAGGGGAATTGTTTTTATAAACCTTCAAGTTTTCAGTATATTTATAAATAGTTAACGTTGAGGTTTTTTTTTAAATAGGTAACGTTTTTCCTCCAGGGTTGGCATCTACAACATTGCAGCATTTAAATAGAATCAGAAAGGGCAAGAGACAAAGGGTAAGTCTACACTTGCACCCTAGTTCGAACTAGGAATGCAAATGTAGGCATTCAAAATAGTCAGTGAAACAGGGATTTAAATATCCTGCGCTTCATTAGCATGATCTCGCCGGCGCGTTACTCCGATCAAAAGCTGTTTCGAAAGCGAAAGTGCGCGCCGGGACGCGTTAGTTCGAACCAAACCCCTTGATTAAAACTAACATTACTCCTCAAAAAATGAGGACCAAGGGGTGTGGATCGAATTAATTTGTCCCAGCGCACACTTTCACTTTCGAAACAGCTGTTGATCGGAGTAACGCGCTGGCAAGATCATGTTACTGAAACGCGAGATATTTTAATCCCCGCTTCATTGACTATTTCGAATGCCTACATTTGCATCCCTAGTTCGAACTAGGGTGCAAGTGTAGACGTACCCAAAATGTGAGACTCTCTGGTCTGGGTTCACTATCCAAGCTGATTCAAGAGTAAAATTCCAAAGAAATGGGGATGAATAACCCAGGGCTGTGTCTAGACTGCATCCCTTTTCCGTAAAAGGGATGCAAATTAGACACATCGCAATTGCAAATGAAGCGGGGATTTAAATCCCCCCGCTTCACTTGCATAAACATGGCTGCCGCTTTTTTCCGGCTCGGAGCTTTGCCGGAAAAAAGCACCAGTCTAGACGCCCGGCAGTCCACCGTGCGCCTCTGCCAACCAGAGCCGCACGTTTTGGAGCACTCGGACCAGTCCCCCATAACCCACTGCGAGGTCAGCATGGGCTGGATGACGTTGGCTGATTTCTTCTCCTTGACCTTCTGCTTGCTAAAGGGCACGTCCTTGGGGAGGAAGAAAGTGAACTTCACCTTGGGCGGGAAGACCTCGCTGGAGACCGTCAGCAGCTGGACAGTGAGAGATTCTGGGAGCTGCCGGAAGCTCTGGAGCCGCTCCAGAGTGGTCAGAGAGCCACTGTACTTCAGGATCATCCCCTTCACCAGGATGTCTTGCTCCATGGCTGAAATGGCAAAGTCTCCGTTCAGGAGGTACCTGCCATCCGGGGTTCTCAAAGCCAGGTAGTTTCCATCGTGCCGGACCCCTCGGTGGCTGCGCTGCTTGATGTCAATGTTGGTAGCTCCGGCAGGGATCGTGACGATGTCGTTATAGCCATACCTGCATGGAGCACGAGGAGATGGCTGTTGTCCCGAGCTTACAAGCCAACAAATTAGTACAGGGATGGGTTAACATGCTGCCGGTGACATGCCTGACGTAATCTAGAGCTCTCCAGTGCTAGGGCCAGAAATTCAGAGGCAGCTCCAGATACAAATGCAACGGGAGGGTTTTCGCTCAGTGCAATGTGAACATCAGCACTGCAATCACAATTGTTTATTTTGATATGAAATTCCTTTATTTCCACTGCCCCTAATTTTTTACATTTCAGTGGAGCGGCAGAGTTTTCTGCTGGATGCTCAGATCTGCACTGAGACCTTGCCCTGGGCACAGACACAGAGTTTTGACAGATGGGAATGAGGCAGCAGGGGCTTTTGGCACCTGGGAAGGTCTTCGTGACAGTTTGGATCTGGAGGACAAGAACCCTGGTTGGACGTTTCTGCTAAAACAATCAGCAGTTAATGATATTGATGTTTACACTGCCCTCTTTGGCTGTGTCTAGACTTGCAAGTTTTTCCGGAAAATCATCTGCTTTTCCGGAAAAACTTGCCAGCTGTCTACACTGGCCGCTTGAATTTCCGGAAAAGCACTGACGATCTCATGTAAAATCATCAGTGCTTTTCCGGAAAAACTATGCTGCTCCCATTCGGGCAAAAGTCTTTTTCCGAAAGACTTTTGCCCAAAAGGGCCAGTGTACACAGCACAGTACTGTTTTCCGCAAAAAAGCCCCGATCGCGAAAATGGCGATCGAAGCTTTTTTGCGGAAAACCGCGTCTAGATTGGCCACAGACACTTTTCTGCAAAAAGTGCTTTTGCGGAAACGCATCCTGCCAATCTAGATGCACCTTTCCGAAAATGCTTTTAATGGAAAACTTTTCTGTTAAAAGCATTTTCGGAAATTCATGTCAGTGTAGACGTAGCCTTTAGGTTTCAGAGTTAACATCACACACTTTTTGAAGCTATTTTTCCAGACTGGTTGTGGACCCCAGCATTGCTCTCTCTGCATTGGCTGCACTTGGTTGGTTTTGGAAGGTTTTTGGTGTAACCATCAGCACCAGAAATGAAATCTTAGATTCTGGAGTGCCATTTTGCCGCTGGGGTGGATTCCACAGCAAATTGTGTCACTGTAGGATTCTGGAGTAGGCCGGGCCCTATGGACTGCAATAGAGGAATGGTTCATGGCTGTGGAGCAAAAGGCCTTTAAGTCGGGGGCACTCCTTGTACCTTGTACATTGTCTATGCTGAACAAACAACAATGGCAATTTGGGAAGCAACACACTAAAATCCAGCACCTGACTCAAGCCAGCACCTGTAACTGATAGGAATATTTACACAGAAGCATTTCAAAGGCTTGTGCTGTGGCTGGCGATTAGGCACAGAGTATTTTGGAACAAAGCCTGAGGGTCAAATTCTGCTCTCAGACTGAAGTCACGCTGGCATTCTTAACCCTGATCTTAATCGGATCTCTTGTAGATTAAATCCATATTCATCTCTCTTTAGTCAACCACAAACAATTCATTGGCCAATGGAAGTTCCATTCATTGTGTTCCCTGGAAGGAAACCACTTAGGAAATCTAATTTGACCCCGGGAGTAATCTCATCACGTGGAATTCGATATCTCAGCCCTTTGTTACTCTCTTTCCAAGAAAGCTTTTAATATTGGCCTCCCACTGCTAGCGTTGCTTTGCTCAGAAGATTAACCCTTCAGCCGAAAAGGCAGCTCTTCAGCTGCCGTCAATTGCCACAGCTCTATTGATGTCAGTGGCACTACGCTGATTTATACCATCTGTAGGCTCAGGCCCGGACAATAAATCGCACCCATGTGTCGGGCCAGCACAGGGCCTCTGAGCAATTTCTGTTGCACTTATATGCCAATAAGCTCTTCCTAGGTCTTCTGCTGGCTCCCTGCGTATGCGGGAAATTCAGCCCTGGGGCTTAGACTGTAAACCCCTCAGGGCAGGGACTGAATTTTTTAATTTGCGCCTGTCAGAGCACCAAGCACATGACAGCGGCAGGTAACACTGAAAGCAACAGGCATTATGTGTATTACATAATGCAGCACAGGAGCAAACTTTGTGGAACTTTCAAGGAGTTTGGGGCAAAGATAAACATTACGTGGGCCCTAGGCTGGATTCTGGGCTCATTTGCAGTCGTATAAATCCTGCTTAACACGGTGGAAACCAGCGGCGTTATGCCGCGTTTATACCGGCACAGATCAGATCAGAATCTGCCCGGCAGGTTCCAAACTTCCCTGTGTGTTTGCAGGGGAATTGTTTTTATAAACCTTCAAGTTTTCAGTATATTTATAAATAGTTAACGTTGAGGTTTTTTTTTAAATAGGTAACGTTTTTCCTCCAGGGTTGGCATCTACAACATTGCAGCATTTAAATAGAATCAGAAAGGGCAAGAGACAAAGGGTAAGTCTACACTTGCACCCTAGTTCGAACTAGGAATGCAAATGTAGGCATTCAAAATAGTCAGTGAAACAGGGATTTAAATATCCTGCGCTTCATTAGCATGATCTCGCCGGCGCGTTACTCCGATCAAAAGCTGTTTCGAAAGCGAAAGTGCGCGCCGGGACGCGTTAGTTCGAACCAAACCCCTTGATTAAAACTAACATTACTCCTCAAAAAATGAGGACCAAGGGGTGTGGATCGAATTAATTTGTCCCAGCGCACACTTTCACTTTCGAAACAGCTGTTGATCGGAGTAACGCGCTGGCAAGATCATGTTACTGAAACGCGAGATATTTTAATCCCCGCTTCATTGACTATTTCGAATGCCTACATTTGCATCCCTAGTTCGAACTAGGGTGCAAGTGTAGACGTACCCAAAATGTGAGACTCTCTGGTCTGGGTTCACTATCCAAGCTGATTCAAGAGTAAAATTCCAAAGAAATGGGGATGAATAACCCAGGGCTGTGTCTAGACTGCATCCCTTTTCCGTAAAAGGGATGCAAATTAGACACATCGCAATTGCAAATGAAGCGGGGATTTAAATCCCCCCGCTTCACTTGCATAAACATGGCTGCCGCTTTTTTCCGGCTCGGAGCTTTGCCGGAAAAAAGCACCAGTCTAGACGCGGATCTTTTGGAAAATAAAGCCTTTTCCGAAAGATCCCTTATTCCTTATTTTACGGAAAAGGGATGCAGTCTAGACACAGCGTCGATGTTTACAACTGTTTCACGTGTAATAACCCAGCGTGCTGCTGGTTGTCTGGGTGAGGAACTAGTCTTTGAATCATGTATGCAGGAGGATTCCTCTGCTCCCCGTGGAAAAGCATTATCTTCAGTGTGGTCCCAGAGGGAGAATTGGTTTCAGAGGCTGTACCTCAAGCTGCTGCACATTAGTGGAGCTCCAGCGGAGTCCAGTCTCCGGTCTCCTGGGAAAGAGCCTTGGAAACAGTGACTATGTTTTATGATTTCTCTCTGCACTTGACACTGCTCCCATGTAAGCCAGTGGCAAAGCTGGCAATCCATCCAGAGTGGGCAGGCTGCTTGGGGTTTGATCCTGCAAGGAGCTAAGCGAGGACCAGGACTATAGCGAGGTGAATGCAGCTTCCCTACCAACATCCCCGGCAGAGACAAACCGCTCTCCCGTCGCCCCCCCCCATGCTACGATCGCCTCCGTCCGTCGCTGTCCAGCACCCCAGGAGAGAGCTTTGACCTCCCCAGCACGTACTTGGATCTGTTGAGCGAGCCCGATATTTTCCTGCACGTCGAGCCGTTGCCACCGCACACCCCGCACTTGTCCAGCTTCTTGGAGGAGCCAATCACGTGGTCACAGCCAGCCTTGATGCACTGGCCGTGGACACAGATGGAGAGGGTCTCTGGCCCACACAACGTCCCATCGATCACCTGGGCCATAAGGAGCAGACAACAATGAGACAATTCCATGAGCCCCGCCGGGGCGTCTCGCCCGGCGCCATTCCAGGCCCAGGACGACAGTAACAAGGAAAGGCAAGGGTCTTACTTTGGCCTCGAACACTTTGAATTCGCTCCTCCCGCGGGCTCGGCAGAAGAGCTTGCAGCGGTCCCGAGGGGACACCCCGGAATACTTGGGCAGCCACTCCAGCAGCTTCCCATCCAGATCGGTGAAGTTGTAGCTGTTGTACTTTTCGCACTGCTGCTCTCGAAAGCTCTTCCCTGGAAGGAAGGGAAAACACGGCCCCTCAGGTCGCTGGCAGAGCCGCCCACGGGCAGTGAATTTGCCAGAAATCTTTCAAAGGACCCTCGCTCCGGGACCCGTGCTTGCTGCTCGCCCGTGCATGCCCCCCGCGAGTGTGGGGGAGCTGGGTGGACAGCCCTTCCATGAGACCGTGGCCAATCCACCCGCCCAAGGGTCTTTGGGGCAGCGGTGACCAGGTGACCGAGCTGGCCCGTGGCCCCTGGGGAGAGCGTGGCTTTGGGGAATAAGCTGGCCCGTTTGGGATGGAAGCTGGGGGGAGGGGGGGAGTTCTGCTTGCCTCCATGGCGGACAGAGCCCTCTCTCTCTCCCTGCCGTGCCTGGCAGGCAGATCTCAGCAGACAGGCTGCTGCCATCCCCAGTGCCTCGTAAATTATATCGATAGCCGTACAATGGCTCCTTTCACGTCTGGCTGAGCCGCCCCGCTGGGAAACCCGGCCGTTCTGGCCGGAGCGGCTGGCGACGGAGGCCGGGCAT